TTATTTTTCTTCACCAAAGCCATTAAATTTGTGATACTGGGGCGTCCCGGCTTGTCAATCTTCAGTTTAGTATTTAAAAGAATGTATGCAGTGAAAATAATTGGCTGCTCTTAAAATGTCTAAAAAATTTGCTTTTCTCCAGATAGACAGGAATACTGTCTTCTCCTTTGTGGGATGAAATAACACGCCTATAATAAAACATGGAATTGCAGTGTAAGTTCACTGTGAGAGAAGCTAATAATTCTTTTCTTTTTTTGTCGTCAGTCCTGCAGCAACAACTTGTTAAACTGAAAACAATGAATTATTTATTGATTATTTTTATTCATCTATTGATTTTCTTCCACTTATTCGGTTCATATCTCATTTAATTTATTAAGTCATGCCTGTATTGTTTTTCTTTCAAACTTGTATATTGTCCTAAAAATAAATTGACTTGCATTTCATGTGGTCTTAAAAAACATGAAAAATGAAAACGGTGCAGGAATCCTGATGGTGGCTCGTAGCTAGGACGTCTCCAGTGAGATATAAATGGCTTTTGTTCTTAAATTGCTCTTCTTCTTTTTTTTTGAGATTTGTTTGATTTTTGTCTGAGTTGTTAAACACTGTTGGGCATCGTGTCTCTGTCTCCTCCTCAGGTGTACATGTACCAGCTGTTCCGCAGCCTGGCCTATATCCATTCCCAGGGCGTGTGTCACAGAGACATAAAGCCTCAGAACCTCCTGGTGGACCCAGAATCGGCCATCCTCAAACTCTGTGACTTTGGCAGGTCAGTAACATTTCCCGCCTGCGGGCAGATCTGTCTGTCTGCATTTTTCATTTTTGCATTGTAGTGACCATTTCTGTCTCATTGTGGATATTTAGTTTGCTGTCTGTTTGTGTAGCGCTCTTCCTCGGGCTCCGCTTTCCCTGTGTGGATCACTCATGCCTTTTTTATGTCTGGGTCGCTCACATGCTACTCTGAAAACAAACACACTGGCAAATCCAAGGTTCATACCGACTGCGAGTCTCATCCTGAACTGTCTGTTTTCTGAATCCTCCAGTGCAAAGCAACTAGTTCGAGGGGAGCCAAATGTTTCCTATATTTGCTCGCGGTACTATCGTGCCCCAGAGCTCATATTTGGTGCCACCGACTACACGTCCAATATTGACATCTGGTCAGCCGGCTGTGTGTTGGCCGAGCTGCTGCTGGGTCAGCCCATCTTCCCCGGAGACAGCGGTGTGGACCAGCTAGTAGAGATCATCAAGGTACAGTAAGAGTGCTGTAAACAGTGGTACAGCTGGGCAATACCACCGCCTCTTCTTCCTCTACCTCTTTGCCCCCCCCCCCCCCCCCCCCCCCCCAATTTTTTGCACATGTCGAGGAGCGTGTCAGGTTACATTTCACTGTGTGTTATACTTGTATAACTATGCATGTGACAAATGAAGAACCTTGAACCTTGAAATTTGTAAATGTAGGATTGTTTATAAAGGAACTGCATATTGAAGAAATATGGAGGAAAAAACATGCTTGGTCGAGGTCAGGGCTGCACAACATTTTTTTTTAACTTGGTCCTTCAAAAGCAGCTCTGTCTTAGAAAATGTTGAATTTAATCTGCACTTAAAGTAATGCTCTGCTACCTTTCATTTTGTTGTGTTTAACAAACTTAAATATTAGAAAACATCTCTGAATGAAGAAAATATAAATATGCACAGATGCACATTGTGAACAAACACAGAGCCGTATTCATGAATATGAAAAAACTCAGATAATGATCTTTTCTGTTATGACCTGTGACTCTTAAGTGCTTTTGG